GCTATAAGCAAGGCAAACACCCTTCCCATTGTGCTATTGTTCCAGCCCCTGGTGGATTATCTTTCAGGAAGAGAACACAGGTCAGAGAGACAGTACAAAATAAGATGTGGCTTTGCATGCTGCCAACCCAGGTTCAACTGCCAGCACTACATAGGGTCCACCAAGATTCCTGAGCACAGCGCCAGGAGTAAACCCTGAGCAATGTCTGGTGTGGTCCCAAAAGAAAAACTTATTTGAACACAAAATTAACCACAAAACAAATATCTAATTAGAAAGTGAAAAATTATAAATTAATATTTTCATCTGGAAAATATACAAACATCAAAACTAGAAAAAATAACATTATAAATTAGCTTTCGAATACATGTCTATAATATTGCGTCCTACTTTTCTTCTTATATGTATATAGTGGGGGTGAGGGTTAGGATCATACCCAATGTTGCTTAGGGCTTACATGTGATTTCTGTACTCAGGGCTCACTCCTGAAGATGTATGGGGAACCCTATGTGGTGCTGGGAATTGTACTGGGGCCAGTTTTGTGCAAGGCAAGCTCCTTAACCCCCGTACTATGTCTCTGACCTCCCAAATTTATTTTTTGTTCTCATTAAGTAGGATGCAGAAAATCATATACAAACTTACTACTTGTAAAACTGCAATAAGCTTATACCCTCAGTCAGGATTCTAATAATGAATTGTCACTGTCACTGTCACTGTCCTCTGGTTGTTTATTGAGCGGGCCCTGGGCCCGCTCGAACAAATCAATAATAAATTGTATTTTGTACAATTTCATATGGCATTATATATGTTGCATAGTATATTTAATGTCCCTTAACATATGTTACATAGCAGTATATTCCTGATAGGAAAGAACTTGTTTTGAGGAGAAATCAGTGAAAGTGGAACTTTTTGGTTTGTTTTGGGGCCACACCTAGCAGTGCTCAGGTATCACTCCTGGTGGTGCTCAGGGGGCGATATGGGGTGATGGAGATAGAACACGGGTTAGCAGCATGCAAGGCAAGTACCTCCCCCATTGTACTATCTCCCTTTGCGTTTGTTTTCTTTCTTTCTTTTGGGACTACACATAGCAGTGCTCAAGATTCAGTGCTGGGGGTAGTGGGAAGGTATATGCTGTGCTGGGATTTATATGACAGCCAAGTGCTAGGCAAAGTCAGTTTTTTTTTCTTTTTGGGTCACACCGGGCGATACTGAGGGGTTACTCCTGGCTCTGCACTCAGGAATTTCCCCTGGTGGTACTGGGGGACCATATGGGATGCTGGGAATCGAACCCGGGTCAGCTGCGTGCTAGGTAAATGCCCTACCCACTGTGCTATTGCTCCAGCCCCCTAGGCAAAGGTCTTAAGCTTCAGCCTTAACCTTCTACTGTCTCTCTGGCCCTGAACTTTCCCTCTAAATGTTATACTAGATGATTGAAAGGATTTTTCCATAGACCCATGGTCTTTAAATTTCAAAGCTTGTTTCTCATCTGCTCATCCTGTGCTTCCAGGGCTCAGCTCAGAATAGAGGTCATGGTCACATGCTCTGCTCATACAGCCTCTGACCCTAGCCCTTTCTCCAAGCTGGAAAAGCCCCTTAATTTAGGGACAAGGAGTTCTAGAAAGTGGCTCCTGCATAGGGGCAATGAAGCACAGAGAAGTGACTAAACCACATAAATAGCCAGCTCTGAGAAGTATTTTTCCAATTTAACCTCAACTTCATGAGAGCCCCATTTGGTACACAGGAGATGAAAGAGCAGAGAGAGGGAGAGAGACAGAGAAAGAGAGACAGAGAGAGACAGAGACAGAGAGACAGAGAAAAAGAGAGAGAGAGAGAGAGAGAGAGAGAGAATTGCAGTTCTGATGCCTCCATTCTCCTCTGCAGACTTGGCCTATGAGCACACCCTCAACTCCTCCTTGGAAGCAGAGCAGGCTGGCAGGAGAGATAGTATATAAGGCAGGTAAGGTACTTTCCTTGCATGTGGCCAACCCAAGTACGATTCCTGGCACCTCTGAGCAGGAGTGATCCCTGAACACAGAGACAGGAGAGAGCCCTAAGTAAAGCCGGGTGTAACCAAAATACTCATATTAATAGTAAAGGGAAAAAGAAAGAAAAAAAAAAGGAAGCAGAGCAAGAACATCAAAGAAGCCCCCACCATTTCTTCCTCCGCCTCTCTAAAATGCCTCATATGGTTCCCTCTAGCAGAGAGAGAGAGAGAGAGAGAGAGAGAGAGAGAGAGAGAGAGAGAGAGAGAGAGAGAGAGAAAACAGGCTTCTATAAAGTGTCAGGGCTGAGTCCTGGCTCTGTGCTTGGCTGTGGATTATTGTTTCTTTGGTGGAGCGACTTCCTACCTTCCTTCCTCCCTTCCTCCCTTCCTCCCTCCCTCCCTCCCTCCTTCCCTCCCTCCCTCCCTTCCTTCCTTCCTTCTCCTTCCTTCCTTCCTTCCTTCCTTCCTTCCTTCCTTCCTTCCTTCCTTCCTTCCTTCTTTCTCCTTCCTTCCTTCCTTCCTTCCTTCCTTCCTTCCTTCCTTCCTTCCTTCTTTTCTTTCTTTCTTTTTTTTTTGTTTTTGGGGCCATACACACTTACTCCTGACTCTACACTCAGTGATGCTGGGATCTAAACCCTGGTCCACCATTGGCAAGACAAGCACACTTCCTGCTATACTTTCTCTCTCTAAGCCCTGGTGGAGGAATTTTCTGCAATATTGTAAGTCTTTCTATTGCTTTTATTGTAAGGCCTTGATTCCCCCCCACTCCAACCCCTTTGTTTTTTATTTGGACCACACCTGGCTATAATCTGGGCATACTCCTAGCTCTGAGCTCAGGGATCACTCCTGATGGTGCTTGGTGATTATATGGGGTGCCAGGGATCAAAGCTGGGTCACCCAGCAAGCTTCCCACCCACTGTACTATCTCCCAAGCCCCCTATTTAATGCTTATTGATGGTAACTATAAGGCTTCCCCTCAACAACTCCTACACACCCCCACCTTCCTCTACCCCCAATCCCAGCAAAAACAAACCTTAGGTATTTGTAATCTCTGTTGCTGTCTAAGCAGAGTGGAATTTGTGGAATGGGGCATCCTTTCTTCTGGAAATCAAATAGGCAGAAACAGGATCTGGGAGGAAAAGTTCTACAGAGAAGAGGAAGAGAATATTATTAGTCTATTGAATAATGATATTTTCTGTGTCAGAGAGATGGTACAGTGGGTAAGGAGCTTGTCTTACATGATTCTGACCTGGGTTTGATTCCTGGAACCCCATAGGGTCCCCCAATGGGGGATCCCTGAGTGATCCCTGAGCAGAGAGCTAGAAGTAAGCCTTGAGCACACCCATATGTGGCCCCCCAAATAAAATTTAAATAAATATAATGAAATATATCTCTGTTTTAATTTGGAAAAATGGGTAGGATATAAATATTAATTTTATTTATATTATTTATTTATTGTTCATTTGGGGGCGACACCTCACAGTGCTCTGGCCTGTTCCTGGCCTCTGCTCAGAGGTGACCCCTGACCATACTCAGGAGACCATACACAATGTCAGAAATTTCAACCAACACAGCCACCACAAGTCACATGCAATGCAACCGCCTGACCTCCTGTACTATTGAGAGGGTAGGCTTAAGGTTAGAGTAAGCATAAAATGTTGAGCAGATTTTTATTTTTAATTTTGGGTGTGCCTGGTGAAGCTAGGTTATTTCCAGATCAGTACTCAGGGTTGCTCCCAATGGTTCTGGGAACCATATGATTCTGGGGACTGCAAAGTGTGTACTTTAGTCCTTTGAGCTATCTTCCCAGCATACTGAGTTAGAAAACACACACACACACACACACACGTAAGTTATATATGATACGAAGAATGCATTTCAGAGATTTTTTAAGAAGAGGCCTTTTATGATTGAAGCTGAAAGGAAAGAAAATAAATGCCAAAAAAACAAGTTCCTGGGGCCGGAGAAACAGAACACGGGTAAGAATCGTGCCTTGTATGTGGTCAACCCGGGTTCAATCTCTGGTACCCATGTGGTCTCCTGAGCACCGCCAGGAGTGAGTCTTGAGCATTGCTGGGTATGGCTCACAACCCCCAGTCCCTGCCAAAATAAAATCAAAACCAAAAGTTTCTGTCCCTGAGCAGGGTAAATGCTGACACTCACACAGACAGAGCAACTGGGAAGATATTAATAGGCTTTAATTTATTATTTTTTCTTTACCGGGTTTTATCTGAAAGCAGGTAGAATATTTGCTATTCTGCAATTCGTATATTCTGGTATTTGAGTTGTTGGCTTCTAATACATTAATGAGACATGAGTTTTGTGTCCACAGAAACTAATAGACATCAGTATAAAGTGTTGTTCTATGTAAACTGTTATTCAAATGGCTTTTATTTGGAGGGTCTTTTAACATTTGAATAAATTTTGCAAAGACCTCTTTTAAAACTTTGTATATTCTTTTTTTTTAATTCATTTATTGGCCTTTTGGGTCACATCTGGTGATGATCTGCACTCAGGAATTACTTTGACTCTGCACTCAGGAATTACTCCTGGAGGTATTCAGGGGACTGTATGGGACGCTAGGGCTCAAATCCAGGTCAGCGTGCAAGACAAATGCCCTGCCTACGGTGGTATTGCTCAGGCCCCTAAAACTTTATGTAATGGGACTACATAGGGTCCCCTGACCCTTGCCATGAGTGAGCCCTGATCACCACTGTGTATGTGTCAGTCACCCTCCCCTACCCAAAATTTCAGATTATACTCCATTTCCTTCTTATTTTCTTTTTGATTTTGGGCCAAACCCAGAGGTGCTCAAGGTGTACAGTCCTGGTGGGCTCAGAGGGACATATGGTGTGCTGGGGACCGAACTCAGGTCAGCTGCATGCAAGGCAAGTGCCTTACCCTCTCGAGCCACTACATTCCATTTTCTTCTTTACTTTCTTTTTCATTTTTTGGGGGGCCACATTCAGCAGCGTTTAGGGTTTACTCTTGGCTTTTTTGCTCAGAAATCACTCCTGGCATACTTACCTGGCAGGGAGACACCATGATCACGAAGGTGATTTTCCCAGGGTGAGGCTTATCCATTTTACTCTAGATGTGCTGGCCCCTGTGATTTCCCCAAATGTGGGAAACTCGACTGCATAATTTGCAGCATTGGGGTGTTTGCATTCTCTCCTAGCTAAAAAAAAGAAAGAAAGAAAGAAAGAAAGAAAGAAAGAAAGAAAGAAAGAAAGAAAGAAATCACTGCTGACAGTGCTTGGGAAGCCATATGGGATGCTGGCTGGGAATCTCACCAGGGTCAGCTATGTAGCGGGCCAGCACCTTGCCCACTATCCTGTCTCCCTGTCCTCTCCACTCCATTTCCTCCTTTGAATGAATAAGAAGGCAGTATGGTGAAGGGTGACAGCACATGGCCTGGGGGGAGTCCTTGGATTCAGATCCTGGCAGTACTGGTGAGCTTGACACACAACGTGAACTCGGCGGCTTAAACAGACATGTGTTCCTCACAGTTTTAATGCTGGGGAGGTCAAAACCAAGGACCTTTTGAAGTAGGTTTCATTCCCATCCTCTTCCCTCCCTTGCAGTGTGGTCATAGTCTATACAGACACTGGAGGGAAGAAGGTTCACTCCTTGCTTAGGCCTTTAACTTGGCACAATTCAGCATGATAGCTCCTAAACCATATCACCTGAACAATTTATAAGCCACACTTCTCTGTGGCTCAGTTTATCATCCTGAAGGTGCGGGGAAGAGAATAATACCTTTTTAGGGGCGGGAACCACACCCAGCAGTGCTCAGGGGTTACTTCTAACTCTGTACTCAGAGTTGGTGGTGCTTGAGGGACAATATGGGATATCAGAGATTGAACCCAACTCAACCATATACAAGGCGAATGCTCTACCCATTGTACTATTGCTCTAGTCCCCAAAATAATACATTTTTTAGTTTGTTTTTATGATACATCTGGCAGTTCTCAGGATTCACTCCTGGCTCTGTACTCAGGGATCACTCCTGGTGAGCTTGGGGGACCAGGTGGGATGCTATGGACCGAATCCAGTTCAGCCATGTGCAAGACAAGAGCTCTACCCACAGCACTGCTGCTCCAGCCCATATTATAAATGTATTAAGGGGCTGGAGTGATAGCACAGTGGGTAGCGCGTTTGCTTTGCATGCAGCTGACCCGGGTTCGATTCCCAGCATCCCATATAGTCCCCTGAGCACCACCAGGAGTAATTCCTGAGTACAAAGGCAGCAGTAACCCCTGAGCATCGCCGGATGTGGCCCAAAAAGCAAATAAATAAATAAATGTATTAAAACATGAAATATTTGCAATACTGCCTAGGATGTATCCAACCCTGGATAAATATAAGCTGTCACTATAGTAACACATTTATGTGAGCTATAGTTTATTTTCTGTAGTTTCTGGAAATAGTTAAAAGCTTAGAGCTTTGAGGGGGACCCAGCTTTCACTTTCCCTCCCACACCAGAACTTGCAGGGGACAACCTCCCCACTCCCAGCACCACAGGGTTTGACCCCCAAACAAAATAGAAGTGAAGCTGATCAAAGCATATACAGTAAAACATGAGTGTCCCCCCAGCCCCCATCTCCTAGTCACCCAGACATCCTGTATGAGTGTTTGAGTCCAATAGACACAGTCAGAGAACATGAATATAGCTATTCCCCCAGGTCCCATTTTTAAAAATCACACAGGCTGGAGGAATAGCACAGGTCTTTAGGGTTTTGCCTTGTATGTGGCTGGCATTGGTTTGATGGGTCCTTTAGCCCTGCCAGGAGTGATTCCTGAGCATAGAGCATAAGCCCTGAACACAGGTGAGTGTGGCACAAAAACACCAAAAAATAGAAACAGAACCAAACTCAACACACACACACACACACACACACACACACACACACAAGAGAATAATACATATATAATTGGCTTCATCTCATTTTTATTTTGGAAGGAGGTATTAAAATTTCAGGGCTCAAACATATGACTTTGTACGTCAACCATGCACTGTACCATAGGCTGACCTACTTACCTTTCTTCTCTCTCTCTTTTTTTCTTTTGCCTTTTTTTCTTGTTTAGGTCACACCGGGCAACGCTCAGGGGTTCTGCACTTAGGAATTATACCTGGAAGTGCACAGGGGACCATATGAGATGCTGGGGATTGAATCCAGGTCAGTTGCATATAAGGCAAACGTCCCACCAGCTGTACTATTGCTCCTTCCCTCCCTCCCTCCCTCCCTCCCTCCCTCCCTCCCTCCCTCCCTCCCTTCCTTCCTTCCTTCCTTCCTTCTCTTTGCCACACCAGGCTATGCTCAGGGCTTACTCTTGGCCTATGCTCAGGGACCATTCCTGGCAGGGTTCAGGGACCTTTGTATGGTGCCAAGGATTAAATTTGAGTCAGCCATGTGCAAGGCGAGTGCCTTACTCCCATACTATCTCTCAGACCCTGGATTTTTATGTTTCTACTGATGCAAAGTAATATTATTGTAATGACTGAAGTTTGTATTCTTCAGTGGCTAATGTACAACTTGACACTCAGGGGCACTCCAAAATGTATTCAATATGATTATAAACTTCCTGAAATAGAAAGGCTTGTAGCTACTAGCCAATCTATCTTATATTTTTTTGTTTGTTTTTGTTTTGGGACAATACCTGGAAGTGCTCAGGGCTAACTCCTGGCTCTGTGCTCAAGGATCATTCTTGGAGGGTCCAGGGATGGAACTCTTGGAGGGTCTTTGGGTCAGCCATGTGCAAGGCAGGTACCCTACCTGCTGTACCTGCCATAGTTCCAGCCCCTCTACCTTGTGTCTTATTTTTATTTTGTGGTCACCTATCTTCTTGTTTTTTTTTTTCTTTTTGGGTCACACCTGGTGATGCTCAGGGGTTATTTCTGGCTCTGCACTCAGGAATTACTCCGGGCAGGGCTCGGGGGACCATATGGGATGCCAGGATTTGAACCCAGGTCGGCCGTGTGTAAGTCAAATGCCCAACCCACTTTACTATGGCTCCAGCCCTCTATCTTGTATTTTACAGTAAGATAGTTTACAACATCAAAATGACTTGACAAGAGATTAAATGTAGTTTTTGTATCACACTGGTTTGTGGTCAGGTAACGGAATGTGGTGCTGGGGATTGAACACGGGTTAGCCAAGTGTAAGGCAAGTGCCCTGCCCTGGACTTTGGCTACTTACCAAAGATCTAACAGTAAATATATAGAGGAATCAACTGAAAGGATCATGTCCACCATGAAATAGTGTATGTAGGAGCAGAGTGATATACAGCAGGTAAGGTGCTCACCTTCCCCACACCTCATATGGTTCCCCGCCCCCCCATCTTCAGAATGATACCTGAGCACATAGGCTGGAGTAAGCTCTAAGCACAGCAAAGTGTGGCCCCCAAACAAAACAAGTGACCCGGATTCGATCCCCAGCATCCCATATGATCCCTGGAGCACCTCCAGGAGTGATTCCTGAGTGCTGAGCCAGGAGTAACCCCTGAGCATTGCTGGGTGTGTGTGGCCCAAAAACAAGAACCCAAGCCAAAACAAGTGATTCCAGGGCCCCCAACACACCCTGGAGCGATTCCAGCCAGAGGAGGGAAGAGGCGGCCTCCGGGGCAGGAGACAGCTCAGAGGGCTGTAAGCACATGCTTTGCACGCACCCCTCACACCGGTCACACTCATTTCCAGCACCCTGTCGAAGTTGACACTGCCTTTGTTCCCATCTTACACGGGCGCACTATAGAGTACACTGCCCTCGGTGACCCGTGTCATCCTCGGGCACTGAAAAACTTTTAGTGATCCTCTGGCTGGGCTAGTGGGGGCGACTAGGTTTGTAGGAAACGGTTTCTAACCCTTCTTTTCCGAGTTCTGCTGATGCTTGCCTAGCGATAGCGCAGACGCTGGCTCTGGAGCTGACTCCTACCACCTTAGTGCGTCTGACCTGAGAATGCTTAGGGGTTTGGGGCGCTGCTGTCCCGCCGTGCCCCGCGTGTCGGCGCCTGGGCTTCGAGTGCCTGGGAGCGCCCCGAGACAGCGCCCGCCGCCGGCAGGAGCGCAACCGGCCCGGGCGGCACAGCAGGGCGCACGCGCGTGGGGGCGCGCAGGCGCAGCACGTCCGCTTCCTGCGCGACTCGCACGCGTGCGCCCCGCCTCCCGGGCGCCAGGACCGGTGCGATTGGACCCGCCGGCTGCTCGTCACGCAGATCAGTCTTCTTCTCGATCCTATTGGCTATCGGGCGACAGACGAGTCGGCCCGGGGCCGCCAACACTTCGGAGACTCGGCGCCACCGCGGAAGCCGCTATTGGCGGAGACCCGAGACGGCGACTGCTCACTTCCGGCGCGGACCTCCGCGATCGCGCCCCTCCCCCGCCGGGGCCCGCAGCCTGCCCACCCCGCGCCCTTCCACCATGGCCGCCTGTGTGTGCTGTGTGCAGCAGCTGCTCGTCCGTGTTCTCCTGTAGCGCTTACTGCCTCACCCTCACCCCGGGCCCGGATCCACGGGGCGCCCGCCAGGAAGAGCTCCCACCCGTCCTCCCGGGCACGACTCCCTCCCCCCCGCACCCCCACCTCCCGAGCCAGAAACGTGGGGTTCCCCCTGTTTCTCCGGGGTCGGAAGCCAGAGAGGGGGCCCCTTCCGCCTCGGCGCGGCCGCGAGCGCCCCTGCCCGCCCCGTCGGGGCGCCGACCCTCGCCCCGCAGCGGACTCGGCGGCGAGCGGCTCTTCTCGGCAGGGCCGGGCCGTCGGCCAGCGCCGCCCCGCGCGTGGCGAGGACGGGGACCCCCCTCCCCCGCTGCGCGGCCGCCCCGGGCTCCCCGCTTCCCGGGACTTGCCCCACCCCCCTGCACCGCCAGGCCGCCCGCCGCCGGCTGCAGCCATGGAGCTGCCGAAGGGGAAGGGGGCAGCGGCGGGGGCTGCTGCGGGAGCGGCGGCAGGTGCAGGAGGAGCGGGCGCGGGAGCCCCAGGAGGGGGAAGGCTGCTCCTTGCCACCAGTTTGGATGCCAAGGATGAGTTAGAGGAGGTAGGTGTGGGGGGTGGGCAGGGAGCTGAGGACCGGGGTGAGGAGGAGCAGCGCGGCTTGGCCGCGGGGGTCACGTGTTCGCGCGCACACACCCCCACCCCTCACTTCTTGCACCTTCCGACAGGTGGTCCCAGCAGCAGCACCAGGGA